TTTGGAGACCGGTCAGAAACCGGATGACGAGGAACGGGCCAGGAAGGTGGTCCTGCGGGCTCCCCGTTTTCAGGTAATCGATGGTCACTTGTACAAACGTGCCATCGGTGGACCTCTCTTACGTTGCCTTACCAACCCAGAGGCTGAACGGGTAATAGCTGAGGTGCATGAGGGAGTTTGTGCGGCCCATCAAATGTCTCGCACCCTGGCTCAAAGGATAATATTGCTTGGCTACTACTGGCCGACCATTGTGGGGGATTGTGAGCGGTATGTCCAGAGATGTAGGACGTGCCAGGTATTTTACAAACATCCCGGCAGACCGGCCACATACTACCAACCAACGTCTAATGTCATACCATTTGCCCGGTTTGGGATTGACATTATTGGAGCCTTCCCGGTCGCCCAAGGCGGGAAGAAGTTCGTGATGGTGGCTATTGATTACTTCACTAAATGGGTCGAGGCCGAGGCAATGGCTACCATAACCGTGCGGCAGTGTGAGAAATTTGTTTGGAAAAACATTATCACCCGGTTTGGTGCCCCGAAGATGATTGTTACCGACAATGGTCCGCAGTTTCGTAACCCCCGGTTCACTGAGTACTTGGCTAGTTTTGGAATCAAGCACAGCAAGGCCTCAGTAGCTTATCCACAGGGAAATGGCCAAGTTGAAAATGCTAACCGGACGATAGTGGACGGCCTAAGGAAGAGGTTGGGAGAAGAAGGCCATAAATGGTTGGAAGCTTTGCCTCACACGGTCTGGGCGCATAGGGTGACTTCAAGAAGGGCAACCGGAGAAACTCGATTTGTGCTCACTTACGGATGTGAAGCCCGGTTGCCAGTTGAAGCGGAAATTCCAACATTTAGAGAAACCGTGTATCAGCCCGGCCAGAACGAGGTCGACCACCTAGCTGAGTTGAATCTGGTGGAAGAACGAAGGACCATAGCAGCTGTTAAGATGGCCGGTTATCAGAAGTCGGTAAAGCGGTATCATGACAACCGGGTAGGACCGCGATACTTCCAGGTGCATGATGAAGTCTTGCGCAGGAGGGATGCTAGTAAGCCTAATGAGAGGGGCAAGCTGGCGCGTAACTGGGAAAGGCCCTATCGTGTAAAAGCAATTGTCAGACCGGGCACTTACCAGTTGGAGACTATGGAAGGTGGCCGGGTCGAGCGACACTAGAACTCTCATCACTTACGTAAATTTTATAGATAAAGTGTAACTGGTTCCTGACCATTAATAAAAGTTCGCTCTTTTCGGAAAGATTGTCCTCATATATTAACCGGTAATTCGTCGCGTACCAATCTACCCGGTTAGACGTCCAATCGAATTGGACGTCTCAAAAAAAAAAAAAAGACTGGTCTGACCGATTTAACACCTCATCCGTACTGACACGGGAGTTAAAAACGATTTGGCTTTACTAGTGGGAGAGCATCCCAGCCAGTTAAGCCGGACGTTTTGAAGGAAAACTCAAGGTTTGCCTATCCACACGGGGCGTTGAGCCATTGTGGAAACAGGTCAGCCTTAAAGTCTTCCCGGCTGACTATCCAGTCTTTCGAAAAGACTTGGGTAAAATTGTATTCTAAGCCGGGTAAATAAAGCCGGGCTGTTATTTATTAATCTAAACGGTTAAAGAATCCAAGATGAAGAGAAATGATGAGAAATGATAACATAAAGCATATTTTCATTAATATGTCAATGAAATACAAAAGTGCCCGGAGGCAGACCTTTACATCATATAAAAAAAAAGAGAAAATCAGATGAGGAAGGAGGGCCGGACGGATCAGATGCCCGGGAAGGGAGGTTCAGGCGCCTCGGAGTGCAGCTCGGGCAGAGAAAGAGCCTTTGGCTGAAAACTTTGGATCCTCTGCTGAAGGATGCCATAGAGGGCCTTCCGCTCTGAGTACTGGCCGCTTTCAAAGCCGTACGTTCCGATTTCGTCGACGATCCCGGCCGAGACCTCGTACTTGTACAAGCCTTGGAAAAAGCGGATGGCAGTCTCCCGGTCAGGCAACGCCTTAGCAGCAAACTCCTCAGGCGTTTGAGTGGCCCAGGCAGCAGCAAGGGCGGCACGCTTCGATTGCTCTTTCTGCAGCTCATCTTCCAGCCGAGCGATTTCCTCGGCTGACCGGGCATTTTCGGCCTCCAGCTGATTGATCTTGGCCTGGGCCTGCTCATCGGCCTCTTTCGCAGCCTTGAGGAGACCATCGTGCTTGGCATAGAGCTGGCGGTAAACCGCACAGTGCTCTGTCCATTTGGCCTCTATCTTCTCTGGCTTGGCCCGGGCAGCCTGGGCTTCCTTCCGGCATTCGACCATCATGGCCTCCATCCGGGCCTTCTCCTCATCCATCGACTTCACCAGCCGGGCGAAGTACTCCTCCCCGATCCGGCCGACCTGCTTCAAAGACATCGAAAATTACTCAGAAAAGTATAAAAACGGTAAGTAGGCGGTGGGAGAGGAAAAGGGGTTACCTCATTCAGATCAGCATGGAATGCTCGGAAGAGCTCCTCGTTTGACCTGGACATTAAAGCCAGAGAACGAGGCACTATCGGCCCCTTGCCGGCGTCGGAGGACTGGGCCCCTGATGGGAAGGTTGGTTGACTTCCTCAGTCTTCCGCTTCTTCCGTTGAAGGGACCCCCCAGAAGTCTCCTCCTTGGCGTCCCTTTCCTCATTGGGCCGGTCTCCCACCCCCGCCTAGGACGTATGCCCAGTCTCACCCATCAGATTGTCGAACTCGAAGGTGTCTACGTTGAAGTTGATCTCCCCCGAGTGAATCGGCTGGCTGGTCCCTTGGTGAGACTGGGCCGGCATATCATCCATCAAGAGTGGTTGGCTGGATGGAGGAGTGAGTGGCTGAGCAGAGGAGGGCTCCTCAACCACGATTTGGGGGACGGCAAACTTGGATTGAAACTTCACCACTGAAACAAAAAAAAAGGGAACCGGTTAGAAGAATGCAGTTGAGAACAAATTCATTCAAATGAAAAATGAGAAGGGCGGTTGATTGACCTTCCTCCTTCTTCTTCTTCGCCGGGCGTGAAGGACCGGCATTGGTAGTGGCCGGGGCTTTGGATCCCCTCGCCTGACGGATAGGGATGGCTTCGGGGATCACCCCGGGTAGAACAATCTCCGGTTCAGGGTCGGTCTCCCGGCCGGGGTAGACGCTCCACTTCCCAGCATGGTACAGACCGCGGGTGGAGGCATCCCCGGCCCAGAGAGTGGCTTCCCAAGCAACCAGGTCATCGGCCTCCGCTGGTTTGACCTGGCGCTTCATTCTTTTCCCCTAGACGTTTTGGGCAAAAGGAAAGGCACCGGGGGGGAATTTGACGCAGACATATTTGTCTTTCCACTTCTTGTTGGAGGGTGGAAGACCACAAAGGAATGCTCGACCTTGGTGGGAAGACACCACCACGAATCCAAGGGTTTCCTTGGACCCGGGCCGAACATCGAACATATAATCAAAGAGGCGAAGAGAAAGAGGAATACGAAGAAACCGGCAGACGTTGATAAAGCTGCCTAACAAACGGTGACCATTAGG